AACGCCATCTTAGAACAGCGGAAGTCGGCTAAGGGAAGGATCTCGGTACGTCGACGTTCTACACTTCGCCATGTCAATGCCTGATCCGCCATCACTGTACAGCACGTCGTCCTTGTGGGAGGCTTTGCGGCTAGCAACTGGTTATTAAGCGAGGTCCAAAGATCACTCAATCCCTTTCGTCTCAACATCTTCCGGCCTGACACTAGGGTGTACGTCTATGTCATCGACGACGATAATTCCTTTTCTCATCCCATCCACAGTAACAAGGCAGTTTCGGATGGTGCAGTGTCCTTCCACCTCAACAGCTTTGTTCGAAGCCGCATTTCCAAAGTAGCGTATGGTCTCGCGTATCATCCAAAATATGACAGTACAAACCCAGAACACTTGAAACGCTCGTCATCTGTGTACCAAGCAGCTTCGGGCGAGTCCCGGATTCCTAAAGGCTTCAGCAACATCCTGCCTGCCGTCCGTGTACCCACTTCACCCTTAACGCTATCCATTGCTTAATCACCCGATCCCAGCAGAAAACCGCAGTATCAGACACGACAGTAATCCGGGACAGCTATATACACGATTCGAAGACAAAATTTACGGAGTTGCATCTCGGCATTTTGTGTTATCGAGGCGAACTCCCTCAACCTGAGTGGTTAGATGTGGACGCTGGTCAGTCGCCCCCTTTCTTGGCCTGTCCACCCATCTCAAGCTACCACAACAGATATGTACAAACGCGTGTGCGATATCACGGTAGACTTTTCACGTATGAAGCAACCTCCACTACCTAGAATCGACGGGACAGGCGGAAAGTACTACCGCGTGAACTATGATGTCATTCTGTTGTTCGGATTGTCCGAGTTGCAGGCGCAGGTGGCTTGGGAAGAAGATGTACGTCTTCCTTATAACTCACTATCTGTGATATTTGCTGATGATATGCTCATATAGGGCGTTGAGAAACGGTATGTTCGCTCCTTAGATATCATCTCGATAACAACTGGGTTCTGACACGGATAACAGGACTCCCGCAAAGATCATTTACTTGCCGTCTTGATCCCACAATCCTTGGCTTGTGAATGTGAAGACCGTACCTTCCTCGTGAACGAATGACGGTGGTGATTCTGCGGCGCAGCCTCCATGTGGCATTGAGAAACATCCGTGAGCCTCCAAGTAGATTTGTAGTGTTGAAGTGTACAAGTATGCAGGCAGCAACGATGCAATATACAACTCTCAGGGCGCACACTACTGCGCAAACTTGAACTGCCATTTCTGATCCAACACCGCCTCTGGGCGCCAACCTACAAAACTCCATCAGCCAAAACTGAACCGCAGTCAACCTCGATATGCCCCCACCACCGCACGCCAGCCTTGTAAAAGCATGTTGTATCACTGTTCACCGATCACACGAGGTCGGGAATCGAGTCAACCAGCCCAGGGAGGTCCACACGTTTACGCCTCATGGCAATATCTCCCGCATGCAAATACTGGCTTGAACCGGATCGCAGAAAGGGTGCAACTATACCATGCAACTTACCCATGGCATCCCACTATCAATCGTCGCCACCTACGTCGGGGTAGCTGGCCTATCTATGGCTTCCGTCTTTGGGGCGTTCAAGTTCCTCACTCTCTGGAAACAGGTTCGGCTGTCACGCTATAAAGCCGACAAAGAGGCAACTGCTGCTCAATTGGCATCGCTTCGCCATGCGTTAAGCGCCAGCCAAGCTTTGGTTCGGGAGAAGGAGGCGAAGGTGGGATATTTGGAGGAGGATGTTGGGAACGCGAAGAAGAGGTTGGAGGAAGTCGCAAGGGAGCTGGAACTTTCTCGGGTTCAGACCCAGACGCTGGTCGAACGGGGCAAGAGCCTTGCCACTGAAGTTCAGTGGCTGAACGGCGAAACTCAACGACTGAACCATGATCATGCGCAGACGGTTGAGCTGCTGCAAACGAGGACTGCGGAGTTGAAGGGCGCTCAAGCTTTTTTGACCAAAGCCGATCACCTGTCGGGCGCGGATGTGATCGGATTGGTGGAGGGTTTGAATTCGGAGATCATGCAGATTGCGGCCTTCATGGCGGAGTCATTCGTTTCCGAGGAGAAGATGAAGAGGGTGATTGATACTAGTGAGGAGGAATCGGACGAGTTGAGGGACGCGCGTGGGCAAGCCACGGAAGTGTTGGGCACAAATATGGTCGAGCTTCTGAGGACTTTCCAGCATCAGGACGATCCCATTCTGCTCCAAATCGCTTTCCAAGCATGCATGTGTGCCTACACCCACTGGATCATCTCCTCGTGGTATTTTGAAGACCCAGAGATCGAGCACGTCCTCAATGAAATCTTTGCGAGGGTTCGAGAAGCCGGTAAGTACCAAAAACTCGTCAACGAACCTTGCTTAAACCGAGTTTTCAGAGGAACAAGCCGTCTCCGGAAGATGGCGTGCCCTGACGCGAACACACTTGCACCGAATGCTGGGCCGCGAACCGGACATGTCGATGTACATGGTTGATGCCTTTGTCAACGTGCTTATCACGGCAGGTTACCAAGAAAAGCCAGCTGCGCTCCAGGATCGAATTATGAACGACTTTGCGAGCAGGATAAGGGTGATCCTTCAAGCTGCCCAACGCTTGAACAGGTCAATTGGAGAAGGTGTTACGTCTTGTGACCTTGAAGCCCTGTACATTGCCCCAAGTGTGTCGTACGACCCAACCACGATGGAGGACGCGTTCAACGAGACCACGCCCAAGGACAAGGCGACAACGCCGGAGAAGGTGCTTTGCACGACTGATCTGGGCCTTGTTCGCGCGGAAAAGGTGTCTGGGGCGGTGGGCGAGTGGCAGGAGCTGGTCCTGCTGAAACCAAAAGTCGTCCTCCCTTCTGGACTGGACGATATTGTCTCTGTCGGGGAGTAAGCTTGTATCAATTATGTGCTTTTCGTGTATCTTTCGATCTTGTTGTCCATTATATCGTGATTCGTCAATTGCATGTATCTTATGTATGAATGCCTATTTACCTTGCTTGTTGGGTTAATTCAGCGTTACTATGACTTAATGTAGAGTGCTCCAAGCAACGGTGACCTCGGTGGCTGTGTCAGAACTGTTCACCATATAGTCTCCTCCCTGATGCTCGAATTATGGTATTATTCGTACAGCTCCATCCCAAAGCGCAAGTATATTACAGCGGTAGTTTACCCTTAAACCAAGCAACCGGATCAGTCGTTTGCCCCGACTCCCGTTTCGCCTTGGCCCTATCCTTCGTCCCTTTCCGATAATCAGCAACAGTTCCCAACGCCTCCCCAGCAAGCGACCCAATAACACTAGGCACAAACGGAATATTCTTCCCTATCCGCGCCCCTTGCTCCTTGAACGTCAAATCCTCCAATTGCTCCACCTCCACCTCCACAGTCTCCTTCTCAGCTTCATCCACAACCCCGGCACCCCCAGCAGCGGCTCTCTGGCTCTCAGTCCGTCTCAATTTGGCCTGCTGCTTCTTCTTCGCGCGGTGGTCAGCAACAGCCCCAACAGCTCCACCGACCATCGTGCCGATAACGCTGGGCACGAAAGGGATGTTCAATCCAATTTGTGCTCCATGCGACGCAAACGTCCATTGCTTCATGCCCTCTAGATTCTTCTTGTCCTTGTCCACCTTCTCCAGCTTCGCGAGCAGCTCGTCCCGCAACCTCTTGATCTCCGCCTGCTGTTCTTCGTCTTGCGCCAAACGGGCAGCTTTGTACTGCTCGCGAAGCCCGTTGATGTCTTCCACATGTTGTGTCTTGAGTTGGGTCAGTTGACTGTCAAGTTCGCGGCCTGCGTCGGTTTCTGCTAGTGAACGACCGCCCACGATCTCATTCACGACCTTGATCTCGCCAATGGGTGGAAGGTCCATGATGGACGATATGACGTTCCGTGCGGACGCGACGGTATTATCGTGGCGAAGGACTTTAGCTCCGTTATTGACGAACTCTTTGAAGTGGCTGTTCGTGAGGTCGGCCTCCGTCTTCTCCGCAACGTCACGTCGTGTCTCGTCCCATCGTGTGGTGAGGATGACGACGTTCTTCATGGCGTCAGGCCCACAGAGGCGGGAAAACATACGCAGGTTGCGAGTTGCTGTACCGCCAAAGCGGACGTCGGAGATGCGGTGGAGATAGATGAGACCATTCACTGTTTTTGCGTTGCGTCTTTCAAGTCAAAGACAAAAAACGTCGGAAAGGTCTACCCAGGATAATCTCAAGGCCTACCTCTTCAGCAAAAACTCGATGAGGTCCTGAAGAAGTTTTGAATCGCTCATATGTGCTCGGTTGTCATCAAAACCAGGGGTGTCGACCAATGACACCTCCAATCCATCATTTTGGGCGTAATCAAAGGTTGAGATATCGCTCGTCTCAGGCTCGATGCTTTTTCCGATCTTGACATCCTTATTCCCAGTCAAAAGCCTTATGAACTAATATCCTCAAGATGAGTGTCTGGAGTCTATTGGGGCAGAAGTACTCACTGATGACTTTCCGGTTCCAGTCTGGCCCATAAGTCTAGCAAAATAACGTGAGCTTTTTTCTCTGGGAAGGAGATTGTCCTGATTTACAGAACCGTGACGCTCTTCTGTTGGACGGGAGCGCCAGCTTCAGCATTGACACCGGCGTCATCGCCGGAATCAGACTCCAAATCACTCTCACTATCTGACCATGATTTGAGCTCAGGAATGGTGGATACAAACGGAGGAGTTGCTTCGCCCACGCCTTAAGTCGTACCTAATATAAGCCAGTCACCCATAATGATAGCAATCTCATCACTCACCGTTTTTCGTAGGAGCTTCACTATCTTGACTCATCCCGGCAGTCGTTTATGGCGGAAGAGAGAAGTTGAAGATCTTGCGCAAGGCGACTAGTGAGTAGTTATAAGGAGCAAACACACTTGCACTGCCGATGCCGACTCGTGGATAAATATATAGAGATTAAGCGCATGTGAACACAAAGGTGTTCTGGTTGTGAGGTTATGTTATGTATCGCATTTCGGAGTTCCTCATCCTCCGGATGTTTTTAGCACGATATTGGTCTCGTTCAGAGTCGACACAGGCTAGTTCGCCACATTTGGTGTCGCTATCTCGCACGGTGTTACATCATTCCACAGCTATCCTTTCCTTCAGTCAAAAAATGTCAGAAACAATGAACTGAATCTCGATCGTGCGTGCTCACAAGGAAAACGTGAATTCCCACCAGGTCCATTCTCAGCGTTATCGATCCGTGTAATTGGTCAACGTGACGATGAGATGAAAGATATGTTACTAGCCGTCGCCCGGAACATTTGTAACTGTTAACCCAATTTCAGAGAGGTCACGATGGGCGAGGATGAGCGTTAAAAGAGGGAATTGGTAGTGATCAGAGTCAGGAACAAGGTGAAGTTCAGGTATATTTCTCACGGCTTCTTGAATTTACCGTATGTTTTGCTCCTCAGCTGCCCACCATTTTGTGCGTATATTTTTCGATTGTCAAGCCTTTCGATCTTCTGACTCTTCTCCAAAAGTGTTTTCAGCGCACGGTTGGATTTCCCCGACAATGTCGGAGTCAAGAACCGCAAAAGCGCCGGTCGCGGCTGTATTGCCCCGCACTGCAACCGCACTACGAAGCTCTATTAGCATATCTATGTCCAATCGCGTTCAATCGATGACGCCGAGGGTCATGAGGCCTGATGGCCATTGACAAGGCACGTTTTCGGCAGCGAGCTTTTATCATTTTTAACCATTCGTGAACTCTTTAGACTCAATGGATTGGAAGCGTCGGAGTGCCTTGAACTCGCTTTGTGAGATAGCAAGGCTAACAGCGTCATTAATCTCGTGGTCAAAACCGCGTGGACATTCTAAGAGACTTCTCAAGAAATGGAAAACATCCGATGTCTGGAAGAATAGGAACGCCGAAATGCGATACTAGTGCCTAATATCGCAAAACATCCTTCCCAAGGACGGCTTGTGTTCACATGTGCGCGATCTATATATATTTATCTAGGAGCTGGCAGTGTTAATGTGTCGGGTCTTTATAAGTTACAGTCCCAACGCGATTTCAAGCCTACTTGCTCGACATGTCCCAGGACAGGAGTACTGGTGAGTGGCCAGATTGTTGTTATCCTTCCCTGCATCTCATTCGTCCTAGGCTCAGTTACGGAAGATTTCTCCAAGTTGAATTTGAATAACGATGAGAGCCCTACGATTGTGTAAGCCAGGACAATTTACCTCCCATTGATGAGAGCTCAATCGCGTCGCTAGCCTCATGGGAATGAGTGGCACTGGGAAATCATCCGTGAGTGGTCTCAACTACGCTACAGAGACCTCGGGCGCTAATGGTATATTAGTTCATAAAACTGCTGACTGGCAATAAGAACATCAAGATTGGGATGACTATCGACCCCGAAACTAGCGACATTTCGACCTACCAGTTTATCAACGATGGGTCGGAGGTGGCAATCGTCGATACTCCTGGTTTTGATGACAATCGACCACATATGAGCGATTCGAAGCTTCTGGAGGATACAGCCAAGTTCTTGTTAAAAAGGTATGTGCCTAGGCCTCGTGAACCGATCGTTTCGTTCATATCTTAGTTCAAAAGGCTCAACACGAACTCCTTGCAAGGTCTCATCTACCTTCACCGCATCTCCGACGTCCGCTTTGGCGGTACCGCGACACGCAATCTGCGTATGTTTTCTCGCCTTTGTGGGCCTGACGCTATGAAGAATGTCGTTATCCTCACCACGAGATGGGATGAAACACGACTCAACGTTGCACAGAGGACCGAGACAGAGCTCATCAACACTTATTTCAAAGAATTCATCGACAACGGAGCTCAAGTCCTCCGTCACGATAACACCGTTGAATCCGCGCGTGAGGTCATAGCCGCCATCGTCGACCGTCCTCCCATTGCCCACTTGCAAGTCATCGATGAGATGATGAGCGGGCGTTCATTGTTCGAAACTGAAGCGGGCCGAGAGCTTGACAATCAGCTTTCCAAACTCCATACTCAGCATGTGCAAGAGATCAACGACCTTCGTGAGCAGTACAAAACTGCTCGTTCAGCCCGCGACGAGGGTCAGCAGTCAGAGATCAAAAAGTTGCGAACTGAACTTATGGTCAAACTCGAAAAGGTGGACAAGGACAAGAAGAATTTGGAAAGCTTCAAGGATCTGACGTTCGCAGCACAAGGAGCGCAGATAGGGGAGAATCTCCCTTTCGTACCTCGCAAACTGGGTGCATGGGCTGGTGGGAGAGTAGGGACCATTGTGGGCAACCTGGTGAAGAGGGATCGTGATGCATCCCGAAAGTCCGGGAAAGGGGTGTTCGAGTGGGCTTTCTCGGACATGTATCCGCCTTATCTCAAGACCGTCCCAAAGGCGGACCAAACGAACATCTTGGACATCTTTGACTTTGCTGCCCTCACGGAAACGGCCGCGACGCTGTTCAGCCAACCCCTGGCAGACATATTGTTCAAGATGCATGACCTTGCGCCTGATTTCAACACTGACCGCACGATGAAGGATCTCGTGGACCGTAATCTTAAACTCCACCGCAAGTCACGTCAAGATACCCGCGCCATTCGAAAGCGAGACATGTATTACAACAAAAACATTGGGCTTCGTGATGATTGGTACACAGATGCTGCGTTTGGTCAGCAGCACTTTACGGGAACGAATACCACCACCATCACCCTTGCACCCTCGCGTTTGATTGATGAATTCAAGACCGTCGCGCATACTCAGGAACGAGCTGATGTTGAGAAACTCTTGGAATCTCATTCCGGGGATCTGTATGTCGAGGATTACAGCGACTTCCGCACCGCCATGGGGCTCCCTCCGAGCCACGAGTTTACAACGGAAGGACGTTATGGTTGTGCTGCCGTTGTGCTCTTCCATCTCGAGCCCGAAGGGAAACTGCATCCCCTAGCTATCACACTCGACCACAGAGGTACCATCCAGGCTTCAGTGACCATCTTCAACCGCCGTGTCAGCTCGGCAATTCCAGGGGATGAGTACTCAGACTGGCCGTGGCGTTACGCGAAGATGTGCTCTCAAGTCTCGGATTGGCTCCGCCATGAAGTTGCTGTCCACCTCGTGTATACACATCTCGTCGAAGAAATCATGATTGTTTCTGCCCATCGCACGCTCGACCTTGACCACGTACTCTTCAAGTTGCTGGAACCACATTGGAGCACCACTCTCTCGCTGAACGCAGCAGCCCGCGAAACTCTCGTCCCCAAAATCATCATTGGGATGACGGGCTTCACGGCAGAGGAAACCTATGCCTTCCTCAAGACATCGTACAATAATTTCAACTGGACAGACCACTATGTCCCCAATGATCTGCGGAAGCGCGGCTTCCCACCGGAGGACCTGGACAAGCCCAAGTACCACAACTACGGCTACGCACGCAACATTGCCCGCACCTGGGAGATTCTGCGAAAGTTCGTCAGCAAGGTATTGACAACTGCGTATCCGGGTGGCGACACCCAGGTCGCAAATGACCCATCTGTTGCTGCCTTTTGTCAGGAGGTCCGCTCTGGCTCTGGAGGCCAGCAACCCAGCTTCCCTGAGATCAAGACGTTGGATGGGTTGATTGACTTTGCGACCATGTGCATCCACGTCGCATCGCCACAACACACCGCGGTCAACTACTTGCAGCAGTATTACCAGACCTTCGTCCCCAATAAGCCATCGGCCCTCTGTGCCAGACTTCCCCAGTCGTTGACGGAGCTCCAAGCGTACGGGGAGCAGGATGTGTTGTTGGCCCTTCCCGTCCGTCGGCAACGAGATTGGCTGATCATGGCTCAGGTGCCTTATCTGTTGTCATTTGAGATGCTCGACGACCAAACGATCCTCCATTATGCGACGACGACCTGCAATGCATCGTCGACACCAGAAATTATTCGTGATGCCGCCAAAACACTGAAGGAAGACCTCGAGGCGTTCCAGTATACCGTTTCGCGGTATAGCCAGGAGCTTGATGATCAGAAAACGCCGTATCTTGTTCTGGATCCAAGCAAGACTGCAATATCGATTCTTATATGATTGCTCATGGACCAAGTACAGTGTCGGCCCTCTTGTATGATATATGTAATTTTACCGTCAAGAAATGTTTAGCTGGGTTTGCAAGGGGGTAGCGGGACGTGGATCCCGCACCAAGGGTAGGAGGGGGCGTGTCCGGCCGAAGGCCGAAAAAAAAAAGTGACCCCCCATCAATTTTCAAATTTTGAAGGGCAGCGACATTCCAAGCATCCGAAGCTGACGTAAGAGTACTACCATCTACGTTGACACACCCTACACTCCCCATGCCGCCCCAGGCCAAGCACCCCTTGCTTCTCTGAATCAGTTACACCACTTGGACACTTCGGATTCTTATTGGATTCTTACTCAGCCTGCATATGAAAGAGTCACTTCTGAAGATTCATCACATTCATGATAATGAAGAAATGCCCTCTCATTCTGTACAGTGTACCTACTTACCCAGGATGATCCGTCTTTGAACAAGTTTTTAGAGCCGCTTTGTTTCAATAACATGCTAGCGCAGGCCCGTTATACGCATCTTCAGTGGACCCGACTTAGCTTAAACTTAGTTTACTGCCAACTGCCTGTTACACGGAAATATTTTGAATTCAGAAAAAACATGAGTATGGGAAAAACATACTTTATCAGGAAGGTAATGGTGGGGGGGTGTCAGGCGGAATCCTGAAAAAAAATAACGAGTGTTGGCCATCTCTTTTCCACATTCCGCCACCCCCTTGTGGGTTTGTGTAAATCAAAGTGTTAGGAAAGGATCCGTACATGTTATCCGTCAGAGTTGCGTTTGACGAGACTCGAGAGCTCGTTAGCTTGGACGGTACTACTGTACTAATACTTACGACCAACTGTTCAACGTTCAACGTTCAGGCCCCTTGGGGTGTGACACCTTTGACCATCTTCGTCGGATTAAACTATCCAGAAACCCCCCTTTCCACGTGAAACCCCAAGGTTTCTATCCAACCACTTCAGAAACCTGGGGTACCACAAGCAATCACTGATGGCCGATGGTCAAAATATTTGAGGTCCGACTTCCCTCGAGGCTCGGCAGTGGCCCTCCAACATTCCGTTTGGGCATTCAGACAGCCCATTCCCGCGCCTCAACTATGGTAAGAACTTTTGAATTCCCTCGCAATTCCAGTTTCAATTGAGTGACTAGATCTCTCCATTAAGAGCCCGAATGGTCCAAGGTTTGCATCTCCCTATTTTCCATTTCTCTCCTCATTTGACATCGTTTCGGATGATTATGTCACATGTAAAATTCAAAGACCGACTTGTCCAGCACTGCTTAATTCATCTCCGACATAGGGTTTCTATAAATACTTCTTTGGGTTGATGATGGGGGGGTTCTACCCGACAACGAGAAATCCTAGGGTTTCTGCCGGAAAGGGGGTTTCTGAGTAGATTGATCCATCTTCGTCGCTTCATTGTCCTGCGTGATGCGTGACGAAGAGTTTTTGCTCTTCGTCCACCACATACTTCTCAGACGGTTTGGCCCAGCAACCTGTCAATTTTTTGGCTGGAAGGTAAGCATGCATTCCTCAAGTATAACATGGTTCTAAATATGCCAAATGTAATGTTTAAAACAAGGCACCGCAGGTCCGGAAAAAAATGTTTATTTTTAATTCAAAAAAAAAACTCTTCAAAACTTGGTGTGATGCGTGACATCACGCCTACTTCCCTTCCTTCACCACCCTTCGTGATGCGTGACGTGAAGACGTGGTCGTATTAGTACAGTACCACCCAACTTCCTCTTGCCTTTGCGGGCCCATGGACAATGCTGCTACTGTACTATTTCGACCAAGTGTTCACGATTTTTGGAAATTTTTCACGTCGAGATGGCCGAAAAATTTTCTTTTGATTTACAGCGCTTTTCCATCTATGCGGAATCGCATTTGAGGACCAAAATCCAGTCCATTCGGTCTCGATCTTCTCAAACAGTCCTTAGCTACATGCCTCAGTCAAATCACCAAATACAAAAATTGCCTCAAAATATCTGTGCAACTTCGCTTACACTCCGTCATAATTCCTTTGCCCTCTTCCTCGTATTCAGGGTACCCAATGAGTAAAGCGGTGATGGCCTATTTTGGAGATGGTGGATAATTATCACCGTATTGGAATCAGCTGCAGTTGCAGCGAGCCTTTCGGTCTCCTTCACAGACCATTCTCCTGCTTGATGTATGCTTTCTGTGTTTTGAGAGATGACAGGCAGCGGTGTCTGCATCCCTACAAATTTCTCAACCCCAACTCGGCACTTCGAACACTTGGATCCAGCAAGCATCGCCGAGCCTAGACAGTTTGTGCATGCGAGGTGACCGCAGGGCCTAAACACGCATGATGACATTGCATTGGGGTGAAGAGAACAACCAGGGGGCACATCGGGGTCAATTAAATTTTCCGACTGACTCTCAGCAGGTGATGCCAAGTTTAGCCCATCAAGTTGTGTGACGGAGAGGACGTTGCTGAGCGCTTCTGATACAGTGGTTATGCTATCCACGTAATCATCGAAAATTGTGTACCAGTTGACGCCTCTCCGGGTGTACATATCGCGAGTGATGGGTGTGATTGGAGGGAGAATGCCTGTAATGGTCTACGCTGTGGTTATTCTTTGCCCGTTTTGTCGTGAACAGTTAGACTCATACCTCCCACAATTCAGGAGTTACGACATGCACATGAAAGCGATGCCCGTGTTGCTCATCGTACACCTTTAATCCAAAAACTAGTTGAGTGACTCCATGGCTTAAAAAGCCACCACATCATACCCTGGGCGAATTTTCGTCTTTATATATTTTCTGCGCTCTGGAACATTGAAAGTCAACAAAACGATGGACAATCTCAAGTGGGGTGAGTCGTACATTTGCCCGCCGGCCGCAAAGCCAAGGCGGAATGAGTTATCTGATATGATGAGTGACCCCCCTGATACAGTGCAGAATTCGAAGTCCCGCGCATTCGAAGAAAACACTCCGGTAGCTGACCTAGAGGGTTCATACCAAGCCTCAATCGTGGCGGTGGGGGACACTCGACGTTTATAGTCGGCCAAAGACCACTCATTTCGGGGCTCAAACCTAGTTGAATCCCGTGGACTAGAACAACTTATGTAAGGACAAAATTCGGAGACAATGATACCGAACTGTACCGTTTCAGAATGAGTTGGTTACCATTCAACAATTTGAGCTCTGAAGGGGAAGAAATGCTTTCAAGTTCTTGCCCTGCATGATTGGCGAACCTCCCATCGACCCCTGGGCGACGTGGAAAGATGTCAAACTGGAAGCCGCCAAATTCTGCCTTGCCAGTAACTTGTTCTTCTACTGTATAGCCTGAGCCAAGGTCAGCAGCAACGAACTTGAGTGAATAAAAAGTGGTCAGACATGTCCATTGATTTAAATATCGCTGCACGAACCTGACGAACGACCCCTGATCCCGAAACTATGCCATCAAGCCATGGCTGCTTTCCCGCTACGATGTAATCCTGTCCGGCACGAAACTTGGGAGGTTCTAGAGAGCTGGTGGATATGCCAGAAAGTGCATTCACCCCTAGTAATTTGGAAATCGGAAATCAGCAATCATCTTTACATTATAGCAGAGATGCTGACCTCCAACAGATATTTTCACGGCAGCTCCTGCTCCTGTGGTTTCGGATTGGCTGAACGCCACCCACATTGCTTCCCGCCTGAACATGGGCTGCAAGGAGACATTGATAAGCACGAGGGTACTAGGGGTGTTAAAAGTTTGAAGATTAACTAACCATCAGAAAACCCCCTCTATTTCTCAATATGGAAGGTACGCTTCGGGAAAGGCTATCCACAGGTAGAAGCGGGAAAACCCCAAGACTCTGAAGAAAGTTTTAATCAATTCGGCCAGCTTAAAGGTGGGAAAGGCGATGTACAGCTGGAAGCTTGTTTATACCGGTATCTGGTACACGGAGAGTACGATGAAAGAGGAAGGTCACACCGGCCACATCAACGCCGGTCTTCCGCATCGTTGTATGATCGTTTTTTAGTTGGGCAATTGTATGACCTGGAGTTGTTGTAGGGGCCAATCCATGGTACGAGGTATATTTATTCCACCACCACAAAAGGGGTTCGAATCTACAAATTTCGTTGCAAGTGAATGAGAATGTGTAAGGATGTCAGGAGGGAGTGATCACCTGTTAACTTTGAGGCCCCCTGGAGAAGACGCGTCGTAGTCTGAATTACCATCCGTCACGGTAATACACAGTTCGGGCTCTTCATACAGGCGATTCGGGGAAAGGAAACCTAGGGTACAAAGGTCTGACTACAGGGTCAAACGTTGGATAGATCTCGAGCGCACCTGCATTTTTGATCGCATCCCATATATCATCTTGAGATGCGTTCGCTTTGACTTGGAGATCGCAGGAATTCGAAGACAGATCGTTAGAATTTCTCAATTTTAGACCTGTGACCTTGACAGTCAATTTCCCCGACTGTACTAAATCCTTGAAATTAACTGTGTCCAGCTCCGACTGCGCCGCTGTAGGCACAAGAGTATCCTGAGAAAATGTATCCACAAAAGTGGAAGGTGGTAGACGGGGCGGGAGAAGAGACTCTTCTGTAGAATCAGCGCCTGGAAGGGATCGTTCGAACAAATGTCCGTCGTGCAAGATTGGAGGTGGTGGAGTCAATGCCCTGGATTTGATGAAGTTGGCCTGCGCTTGTAATTGTATCGACCTGAAATCGTACGGCGATAAAAGGAGGTGCAACATTTTAAATAAGGTGCTTACGGAGCCCATCCATCTCCAATCCTAGTCCGCAAGAAGAGATCGAGCTCGGCCACCTGAGGCGATATGGTAAGTTCCATACGTTGGAAAAGATGTATTTAGAGCACTTGCCTTGATCATAACCTCTTCCACATTGTTTGCGAGCACAGCCTGCTTTTCAACGTTCGAACTAAATCATAGGAATAATCGATTGTCCTGAATGATCGTGACAATTGCATGGATTTCTTACGTGTGTATAAGGTCAAGGGTCCGAACCTTGTCCCAAAGTCATGTGTGATTAGAAAACCCATGGATGTTGCTCACCGTATGTACACTCAGGTAACTATGAACGTCTTCGTTCAACCTTCTAAGCTCCATCACTATTTCGGACACATTCCATGTACGATCGCCCAGATTGCGCTTCAGCAATCTTTGGGCGACCTTCTGAGTACGGGTGATCAAACTATTGAAAGTAGGCTGTTGTTAAAGATGGATTTTAGAAAGGGAGTGAAGACGGACTTGGAGATGGAGGTCAGTGCATCGTTGTATTCGTCCGGACGGATGACGTCGCGTTCCTTGCTCTCTTCAATCGTATTGACGATATGCTCGATCCTTTTTGAAAGACGAATGAGCTCGTCTTTGTTATCTTTGACCTGATTGGCGCGATACTTATTATATGAGGATATCAGTCCAAAAGATAGCCTCACCTTGTTTGCGACGTCATACAGCGTCTTCAGTGCGGACAGGGCGTCGCTTGCGCTCATCGCGCCGGGGGAGTAAACTTGATGGTGTGTATCGCTAGACCAGTGACCGTCTGTCTATGAAGGAACCTGCAATTATCGATATACAAGCTTAGACTCCCACGTCATGACACTGGAGGCATGCAAGGCAACTGCGTTACATACTTACAGTGCTTTGCACTGCCGTTTGCACAACGAGGTTTGGAAGTTGTGTTTGTGTGTGTTGTATCGTGACCCACAAATCGGGAAGGCAAGTATTGGGCAAGTAAGAGGCCGCTTACTGGTCGCAACATCCAACAAGGCCTGTAATCTCCTGTGGTGAAAGATGTTGCTCATCATGGCAAACGATAGAACCGCGCATCTCATCCGATACCTGAGGCGCAACGAGAGTTGGGTTTGAGAGGTACAAAATTGCTCAGCTCGTCCTGATGCGTGACATCAGAATCAGACATTCTATGACGAACATACAAAACTGATTTCGAAAGTGCAAACGGCAATGCAAAGCGACTACATTACATATTATAACTCATAGAACTACTGTACTACATCGCCAGCTCGTGAAGAATGTAGACGTTAACTTTGCGTTAACTGGCAGTTGAGTTAGGCCAGCCCGGCCCTCAAGGCCTCATTAATCATTGCCGGAGCCAGGCACATTGGTGCTTGCCTCCGGTAGTTGTCCGGACTTGGTCCGGACAGTCCGGTAGCATGATCAACCTCCCCTAAACAATACGGTCCGTTATCGAATCAGAATGAATGAATATTGAATTAAGTACTTACCGTAAGTTTTGCTCCTCAACCCACCATTTTGTGCGTATATCTTTCGCTCGTCAAGTCTTCCAATCTTTTGACTCTTATCCAAAGTCTTTTCAGCGCACGGTTGGATTTCCCAGACAATGTCGAACCGCAAAAGCGCCGTACGCGGCTGTATTGCCCATTGGTATATCTTGGGTATATCCAAGGTATATCTAAGCCCAATCGCGTTCAATCGATGACGTTCAGGGTCCTGAGGCCTGATGATTGACAAGGCACGTTTTCTTCGGCAACGAGCTTTTCTCATTCTAACCATTCGTGAACTCTTTAGACTTCATGGATTGAAAGCGTCTGACTGCTTTGAATTCGCTTTGTGAGGTAGCATCTCGTGGTCAAAACTGCGTGGACATTCAAAGAGATTTCCGAAGTAATGGAAAACATCCGATCCCTGGAAGAATAGGAACACCGAAATGCGATACTAGTGCATAACATCGCAAAACATCCTTCCTAGCTTGTGTTCACATGTGCGCGATCTACATATATATTTATCCACGAGTTGGCACTGCTAATATGTAGGGTCTTCATCAGTTGCTGTCCCGACGCGATTCTAAACCTGCTTGCTCGACATGTCCCAGGACAGGAATACTGCGAAAAATGGTGAGTGTCCAGATTCTTATCCTTCCCTGGCGTCTCATTCGTCCTAGGCTCAGTAACGGAAAATCTCTCCAAGTTGAATTTGAATAACGATGAGAGCCTACGATCGTGTAAGCCAGGACAATTTACGTCCCATTGATGAGAGCTCAATCGTGTCGCTAGCCTCATGGGAATGAGTGGCACTGGAAATCATCCGTGAATGGTCACGATTGCACTGCAAAGACTTTGGGCGCTAATGGTACGTTAGTTCATAAAACTTTTGACTGGCAATAAGGACATCAAGATCGGGTTGATTATCGACCTACCAGTTCATCAATGATGGTTCGGAAGTGACAATCGTTGATACTCCCGGTTTTGATGACAATCGACCGCACATGAGCGATTCGAAGCTCCTCGAGGATACAACCAAGTTCTTGTTGAAAAGGTATGCGCCAGGCCTCGTGAACCGATCGTTTCGTTCATATTTTAATTCAAAAGGCTCAACACGAACTCCTTGCAAGGTCTCATCTACCTTCACCGCAACTCCGACGTCCGCTTTGGCGGTACTGCGTATGTTTTCCCGCCGGAGCTCCAAGCTTACGGGGAGCAGGATGTGTTGTTGGCGCTTCCGGTCCGTCGGCAACGAGATTGGCTGATGATGGCTCAGGTGCCTTATCTGTTGTCATTCGAGATGCTGGATGACCAAGCGATCCTCCATTATGCGACGATGACCTGCAATGCATCATCGACTCCGGAAATCATTCGTGATGCCGCCAAAACACTGAAGGAAGACCTTGAAGCGTTCCAGTATACCGTTTCGCGGTATAGTCAGGAGCTTGACGATCAGAAAACGCCGTATCTTGTTCTGGATCCAAGCAAGACTGCAATATCGATTCTCATATGATTACTTATGGACCAAGTACGGTGTCGGCCCTCTTGTATGATATGTGTAATTCTAGCGTTAAGGAACGTGTAGTTGGTCTGTATCTCAAAGTGTTAGGAAGGGGATCCGTAGATATATCCGCCAGAGTTGCGTTCAACAAGGTCTGCACTAGCTCGAGACGATGTGCTCATTGAGAGGTATCTACTGACTGGGGCGTACATGAGGAAGTTTATCCAGTTTCGGTCTCTTCCTTCACGCTTCTTTTGCTTGCACGCTTGTTGGTTATTATAATGAGCTACAAAAGGCGTAATAAAAAGTATTCCTGTCAAAGCAGACATCCTACTACTCCCCAATCCACCATTCGGGACCAGGCTTATTTTTCTGCAGATCCCACTCGTAGAGTGTTCCGTTAATTTCAGCGTACATAGTTGACCCGCTTGGATCGAAGAAAAGCGCATCCACTGCTATGCGTATTCCAGGTTTTCCGAGCCCTTCTAACGGTAAGACAAGAGTTTCTTCCGTCTCAAACGACGTCGCATCGATCACATGAATGATATTAAAACGGAAGAGAGTATCATGCTAAGGATTCAGAACACCTGTTTGAGAGGTAGGTATATCAAAATGTGAACATCAGACGTACCTCGACAAATACCAGAACTTCTTTTCCCAATTTTCCACTGCTGAATTGCAGATGTCGTGCAGGCCGGTCATCATACTCAGACTTGGGGACATCCATGAATGTTTTCAAAGGAACTTTGCTTCGGATCTCCCAAACAGACACTCTGCTGCGAGCCATAGCCATAGCAAACTTGGACCCATCGGCAGAAAATGCAAGTACTGGTGCCTGGATGATAGGAAATGTTTTTGGGTCCATGGGAATGGGAATGGACATGCGGGAAACAAAGGAAAAGTTCAGATTGTTTGTGTCACCAGTTGAATCTGAATAGTGAATGTCAATCGTTTCCTTGACTCGTTCCTTCTCTGCTGCGTTCAGGAGAATGTGTCTGTCAGGGGATAGTATGACTTTGAGAACACATTAGAGCAGATTCAACATGAAATTTGGGACAAACCGAGACTATCGTGCTTCGACTTCGAGTTGAGCTTTAGATCATGATCTATTCTCCCGGACTCAATTAGAGGAAAAGTATGCGATGCATCAGTTTCAGTAGTAGAGATGTCGTACAGCTTCCAATGGTCGATAAACCGCACCCCAAAAGTAATTCCCAGGGGATTTTCGGTGGATTTTATCAACTTCAAATGAAAAATGTTGGAGTGACCATCAGCGCTACCGTTGAAAGACCAGGCAGCGCGACCAACACGATTGTCGGAGCGGATTTCATGGATTGATAGGTGTAGATAGGTCTGGGAAGTTGTCCTTCCCAAGTACTTTGCGAATAGCAGGATCCGATTGCCTTTGATGGGGGCGAATGAAATTTCTGCTACACGCCGCGACGGATGTCTCGGGACAATGATTCGTGGCTTGACGGCATAATGAGTTGTATACAACGAGCGGTAGGTGAACCAACCTCATGTTTTCCGGAGAAATGGATGTTGTGCTCAAAGATCGGACCGTCCCGGTGATAATAAATGATTCCCCTTTGAAGAGGGCAACGAAAGTTGTCGATTTCAGATTCCTCGTCATCCGTGAATCTGCAAGGGTAGACGATAGTGTTCAAACTTTGATACATACACAAAAGATTCTCACAAGTTGGGGTCAACGATGATGGTCTTTCTGGGAATCCTTGACTTTAGCAATGATGAAGGCGGTTCATCCATTGAGAATGCGGAAAGAACAATGGTCTGCCATACACTAAGCGCTGAAGCCCTTGGAGCGAGGTCGCCAGAGCTAAACCTTCCAAATATAAACACAACCAAATACAATTTAAAAACATTCATCATGATGATGCAAAGGACTTGCAAGGGACTGTGCATTGCGGCAAGAGTCACTAGCAACTGGTATGCGCTTTCCCTCTCAAGATCTCACCGGTGCGCCTCTTGCATGAAATCTCGCCACTGCTTTTTTCAACTCGCTGATTTGTTGGGACTTGGCCGCGTCATGATGATATGGCTTTTCAAAGGCACTCTCTCCAGTGCGGTCTCTGATATCTGAGTCCTATGCACCTTTTCCGGCGTTGTCGTCTTGTCCCCGGGCGTTGTCTCCAACGCGTCCTCCATCGTGGTTGGGTCGTACGACACATGTACAGGGCCTAAAGGTCACACGACGTAACGCCCTCTCCAATTGACCTATTCAACCGTTGGGCAGCTTGAAGGATCACTCTTACTTATCCTTCCCGCAAAGTCGTTCATGATTCGATCTTGGAGCGCAGCTGGCTGTTCTTGATAACCTGCGGTGATGCCATAAACGTGTGGACCTTCTTGGGCTAGTTGACTCGATTCCCAACGTCGTGTGATCGGTGAACAGTGATACAACAAACTTTTACATGGCTGGGGCGCGGTGGTAGGGGCGTATCGAGGTTGACTACGTGTCAGTTTTGGTTGATCGCCCAAGGGCGGTATTGGATCAGATATAGTAGTGTGTGCCCTGAAAGTTGTATATTGCATCGTTGCTGCCTGCATATGACTTCAACACTACAAATCTACTTGGAGGCTCACGGGTGTTTCCCAACGCCACATCGAGGCTGCGCCGCATGATTATCGCCGACATTCGTTAACGGGGAAATACAGTGTTCACATTCACAAGCCAAGATTTGTGGATCATGACGGCGTGTAAATGATCTTTGCGGGCGTCCTGTTATCCGTATCAGAACCCATACGTTCTCAAAATAAAATCTAAAGAGCGAACGTACCGTTTTTCAACACCCTATACAAGCATATCATTAGCGAATATCACAGATAGTGAGCTGTGAGGAAGACGTACATCTTCTTCCCAAGCCACCTGTGCCTGCAACTCGGTCAATCCGAACAACAGAATGACATCATAGTCCACACGATAGTACTTTCCTCCTGTTCCATCGACTCTAGGTAGTGGAGGTTGCTTCATACGTGAAACGTCTACCGTGATATCGCACACGCATTTGTACATATCTGATGTGGTAGCTTGAGATGGGTGAACAGGCCAAGAAAGAGGGCAACTGACCAGCGTCCACATCTAACCACTCAGGATCAGGAAGTTCGCCTCGATAACACAAAATGTATGAGTGGAACTCCGTAAGTTTTGTCTCCGATGCGTGGGTACAGCCGCACCGGAATTCTGTCTTTTCTGATACTGCGGTTTTCTGCTGGGATCGGGTAATTGAGAAATACATAGCGCTAACGGTGAAGTGGGTACACTGACGGCAGGCAAGATGTTGCTGAAGCCTTTAGGGATCCGGTACACGCCCGAAAGTGTTTGGAACATAGATGATGAGCGTTTCAAGTGTTCTGGGTTTGTACTGTCATAGCATGGAGCGACGCCGAGACCATACGCTACTTTGCAAATGCGGCTTCGAACAATGCTGTTAAGGTGGAAGGACACTGCACCATCCGAAACTGCCTTGTTACTGTTCAAGGGATGAGAAAAGGAATTATCGATCACAAAGACGTACACCCGATTGTCGGGCCGGAAGATGTTGAGACGAAAGGGCTTGAGTGATCTTTGGACCTCGCTTGATAACCAGTTGCTAGCCGCAAAGCCTCCCACAAGGACGACGTGCTGTCCATTAATGGCAGATCAGGCATTGACTTGTCGAAGTGTAGAACGTCGACGTACCGAGATCCTTCCTTTAGCCGACTTCCGCTGATCTAAGATGGCGTTGACAATGCACTCGACTGAGGGCTTGAAGAATGTACAGATGTCATATCTGCGAGGTCGTCTTGTTTAATCAAGTGCTCGAGAGATTGGAATGTCACAAACCCCGCCAATTTGAGTTGGCCAAACCGGATTCCGAGATCGGGGTCGTTCTCCTTTGTTGATCCGAATTTAATGTATTCCGGTTCATGCTCACTTCGGAATCGCAATTTCGTGGTGGAGTCAAAGCAGCGGACAATGTCGTCGAGATCGCCGATGAAAGGCGATCCTGCCAAGTATTCTTTGTTAGGAAGTTAGCTCAAGCAACCGGACTCATGGAGTCATTTGAGTCTTACCACTCAAAAAGAGCCGCGCGTGAACAGTGACAAATATGGAACCGTGAAAATGACCTGGCAGTACGTAGACATCAGCACCAATGTCGAAAAGGTAAAAGTTAGGACATACATTCCGGAGCAGCAATTTCTTCAAAGGCCTCTTTGTGGCGCTCTACCG